TTATTACTAGTACTTTAATGTTTAATAAAAAAAATTCATCTATATTAAGTAAAAAAGACTGATCACAATGCTTATAATAATTTATTATGCAATTTATAAAAAAAAATTATTTGGTAAGATTGAATAAATAATTGAGACTATTATAATAGTCTTACAACTTATGAGAATCTTATGTTTATGATAAATATACAACATAAAAACTCCAAAATTGCATGACCAAACAAACTTCAACTCCATCTCATAATTTCATATCATGATTTTTTATCATAATTTTATATCGCATAGGCAAACGGGCCTAAGTTTTTTATGACTTTAGAGAATAGAACTGATCGAATGGTCTAGTGAGTAGTGTCTATATAAACAGCATATATATTTATTGGAATAAATAGATCTTATGTCTACATGTTCTTCTGACCCACGACATATTTTCAGTTTTTGGAATATTTTAGTGGAAAAATACCTAAATTGTAGAAGCAAAAATATTATATTTAACTATTTTCCCTTTGTCATTCGAACTAATTATCTTTTAAGATTAAAAATTAAGATATTTATCATTAGAACAACTCTTTATTTTCAATATTTACTCTGTGATTCGAACTAATTATCTTAAGATTAAAATTTAGGATATTTACCATTAGAACAACTCTCTATTGCCAATATTTACTATATTAAAGGGGCATGAAAGCTGAAAAAAGAAATTAACATGAACCTAAATTAAATGATACGCATGGCACCTTTTAATTGGGTTTGTCCAATTAAACTATTCTTAATCTTTTTTTTTTGTTAATATATAGTAATTATATCTCAAACAAGTAACTAGATACAAGTTGTGATAATTAAGACAGTGAATTTTAATGGGGGCCTTCCCCCCTTTTTTTTTGTTCGATTCCTTTTTTTCTTCACCGCTTCTTGGCTTCTCCCAAGTAATAATTACTTTCACATTTGCTATGGCATCTTTGAAATTTTGAATATGGTTTTACACCGCATATTATTTGTCTGAGGGCTTTTTGCTATACTTCAAACAACAATATTAAGGAATTAATAAGTCGTTCGTAAAGTTGACAGGTGGAAATAGTTTTTTTCGAATTGAACAAGTTTAAAGAGGAATTTATATATATATATATGTTTCCTGTTTTAATTAAAGTTATTATGAAATGACCTATTCAATTTAATTTACTCTTTAACTAGTTTTGGCGTAAAATAAAATTTATCTGTTGAAATGTACAAGTTTATATTATATTATATGTTGCATTTAGTTTTTTACCCATAAATTACATGCTATGTATATTTATGATTGTCCCGATGTGTCAATTGGTTAATTATTATAATGATAATTGTGGTCATGATGAATTGGTTATGATAAACAAGTCTTTTTGTTCATGTTAACAATTAACATAATTGATGAATAAGATTGTTAGGATTAGATACTTCAGATCGTGATTATAATGTAAATTTTAACTTCATTAATCACTAAGATTATATATATATATATATATATATATATATATATATATATATATAAGAAACTTTTTAATTGAAAAACATGTTTGTTGGAGGTGGGATTCAAATGGATTATTGTTACACTTTCAACGATTAAATATATGTATATACAATAATTGTATAGTTTTCCACTTTTCTCTATCGTAAAAGATATGACTTAAATAAAAAATTGTTTTAGGCATAGTCAAATTGGTTAATTAAGTCACCTTTACAAGCTAAAGTATGACTTTTATATGTACCAAACACAGGTGTCCGTGCTAGGACGGTTACAATATCTATTATTTTTTTATTTTAATTTATGTTTTATAGATAGAATTTAGAAAATCAATTAAATTTTAATATAATTTTTAGATATTTTAATTTGTTAATTACTTTTTGTTTGCACAAATTTAATGTGAAGATGTCCATAATTAAAATATTTTTCGTCATCATTAGTTGATTTTTTACTCAGTAGTTTCAACATATAAATAAATATTATTGACATTCAAAATAATAAAGTTATAACTAAAGAATATGAATTTAAAAGTAAAAGTCATAGCTAAAATGAATTTCAAATTTTGAAAAAGTTATACACTAAATAAATTAAAGTAGAATAAAAAAAAGTATTTTTTTTTATAAATTTTTTTCTCAAAACACGCTGAGGCAGGCACATCGACAAAAACGTGCCTACTTCAGCATGAAGTCTCTCTTATATAATAAGAGAAAATACACTAATTTTAAATTAAAAGAATTATGTGCAATTATTAGTAAAGTGTGTAGACCCCAAATCATATAGTATCGGTTTATTTTATTTTTTCTGATACATTGATTTGAAAAGGACTGAACTGCGAATGACAGAAAAGAAAACTAAAAGAAGACTTCAATTATTGAATTAAAAAAGAGCATTGTAAAAATAGAAGATCAAATAATTGATCAATTCTTTGAGTCCCAAAACGGCAAAACGTCCTGTCACACATACAAAAAAAGCATAAATAAATTAACTTTTGGCAAGCTATTTTTTGTGAAAGAGATTTAACAATAAGGGTCATTTTAGCATTCTGCTAAAAAATATCTTCTTCATATTGCCTTTTTTGTGTGTGTGCCTCAGCCTACGGTGCATAAAAGCGTGTCTATTATTGTACTCAGAGTTGATTTAAAGTTTATGATGAATTCGAGATTCTAATTCTTTTAAGTTAGTAGGCGTTTGGAATGCGATACCATATCACGATATGGTATCGTGAGATGGAATCAGCGTTTGGATATGTAATTTTACGCTGATTCCATCTCATGATTCCATATCATGAGATGTGATTTCATATTCTCCAAAAACCATGATATGAAATTATATTGGAATTTCATATCATGATTTGAGATATTTTAATACAAAAATTGATCCACGAGTTTATATTTTGTTAAAACAACCCCACATTTATATCTACTAACCATTTATTTCATATGTAAATAAAATTTATAATCACATCATTACTTTTTAAAATTTATTATTCTCACCAACATATAGTCACTTTAACTCACACCAACCGATTGTTGAGTAATAAATTTATTTTATGGCCTTAATAAGTGCACATTTATATTTTATGGGTAAGTTATTAGTATTTAGTTACATATTTATTTTATGACTTTGCATTGTCTTGGAAGCACTATTTTTATTACTCTTACAAACATTATTTTTATGAAGTGCATTCTATAATGCTTCCAATTTATTTTATGTTCACTAAACTAATATTGATGTATTTTTTATTTGATAGGATTGTGTTGGTGCGATTGATGGAACATATATAAAAGGGCAGGTTCCTAAAATGATATGCAACAAACATATCGTAATCACAATGGAAGAACATCACAAAATGTCTTATCATTTAGAGGTTGAACATCATTTAGAGGCCGTGGAGGGAGTGGGGGTTGAACTTCATTTAGAGGCCGAATGTTAAGGGTAATCCGTTTAATATAAGTAATCTTGGGTAAGTGTTAAGGTTGGGTTATCTATGCTTGATCAACAAAAAATTCATTGAGGATTAGATTAGTGTAGTCATTTTGTATACCCAATTTTCCTCCACATTAAGTTTTTCAATGGTGTCTTTATAAAATTAATGGCATAAAGTCAAATTTTAATAAGAGACCTTACATATATAATCATAACAAAAATAATAATAATTAATGTAGAATTTCTTTTTCTGTTCTTACCTAGTACTTGTTTTTAATATAGTATTTTAAAATATATAAATTGCTTAACTTCACATACTAATATTATAATTTTTATAAAAGAAAAAAATAATTTTAGTTAATAAGATGCTAGCCATTTATTTTAAATATGTTAACTTGGATGTTATTGTAAAATCTTTATTTGTTAATATAAAGTTTAAGTTTCAATACAAATTAGTTTCTAAAATATTTTGCTAAAAATTAGATAGCTTTTCTTTCTTTCTTTCCTTTTTTTTATATAAATTTTGTATGTTTTACAATCTTCAATATTATTTTAAGTGAAATTACAATCATAAAATTCAGTATTAAAATGTTTTTTTGGCCTAAAACAAACAAACCTTTACTATTCTCATCCTTGAATCATCCCTTAAGTTGTCTTTGCTTTTACTATATTGTGAAGGGTGCACGGATCTTTAATCAGAGGTTATTGTCCCAAGCAGCTTAATTAGAGTATTTGTCCCAAAAAATTTGATCCACCCTTTCATGATTTTCTAACTCTATTATCAATGCAACAAAAGAGACATTGGCAATAGATTAAAGAAATTTAGTTGCAATTATGTTAATGTCATTGTATTTTGAATTATTAAATTTTTAACTGTATTTATATAGAGTATGAGTCATAAATAGTTATATTATATTATTAATGCTAAGTATAATATAGTGACAATTAATATAATCCAATAAATAATTATTACAAAATTTTTTATTTGTTGTAAGAGTTAATATCTCATATGGTCACTCAACTTTGAATAGTTGACTAAGAAAGTCACTCAACTTTGAATTGTTCACTTAGAAAGTCACTCAACTTTGTTTTATAACTCAAAAATCACTCAATTAAATATATTTAACTGCAATTGAGTTAATGTTATTGCATCTAGTGTCACTAAAATCTTTAGCGGCATTTATATAAAATGTTGGTTATAAATAGTCATATTATATTATTAATGCTAAGTACAATATAGTGGCAATTACATTAATCCGATAAATAATTACAACAAAATTCTTTATTTGTTGTTGTGATTGTACAAATATTCTCACAGATGTGGTTTGAGAGAAACTCTATGAATTTGTCCATGTTCCAATCACCATTGTTGATGAACATTTTGACAAGAAGTTTAGAGCCTTTGGAGATTTGGAACTTGATAGTCCGTTTACAAATCCAATTATCAACTAACAATTAATAACATTTACAATTTTAAATTCAAAACTACAAAGATATGAACTTGTGAAGAAGTACCACATTGGTGGTTAGTAGCCACCGGTTGAGTGGTCTGTTTCTATGGTCTTGGACAATTCTCGTCTCATGATTTAGTTTTGGTTAATTCTGATGATATCTGCTTCGACTCTAGATGATGATCATTAGATTTGGGTAATTGTAACTCCAAATCAACTGATTTATTCATGAACTGCTTCATCTTCTCTTTATTTACTTCAATATCCTCTGCATTTGTCTCCATCTTTTTGCCCCACAAAAATCCGTAAAGCCCAGCCACTACTATGATTGACCCTACAACTCTGATATATTTCAAAAAATGATCAAACAAATGCTAAATGTTTTACCAAGAAAATTATAATTAGCTTACAATATGAAAAGAAAGTATTTGGCTTTATATACTTACACTCCAAGGTACAATTTCTCACGAAGCAAAGTCCAACTGAGAAATGCAGAAATAACCAACAACAATGGATTGAACATCGAGACATATAAAGGACCTTTTTTCTCAATGCACCAAGAGCTCAGAAAATATGCAAATGATGTACTCACAACTCCCTGTTATCAACATCAACAAAAGAAAATTTTGAAATGAAAATCTAATTAATATATTTAGTTAGATATCATAGGACTAAAATAGACATTTATCAATTATTGAGGAATTAAAAATCGACATTTGTTTGTATTATATAGAAGAATGCAAGTTATAAAAGCAAAAAGAGTCATACATTATAGACGACAGAGATAGCTCTAATGGGATTTAAAGCCCATTCAGAAAGTTTTGGAACGACACAAAATCCAATAATGACACTCTCCACACTTGCCATTAAGCACATCAACGTTATGCATGTATATGGAGCTGCATACTTCTCACTTACCCTTCCCTAATTAACCAAAAAACAGCAAAAAATTATGTGTTTACATCACATCAATCAATAAGCATATTATCTTGAATACGCATAATTATTCTATAATCATGATTAATCAATAAGTGTTACCTGAATGATTAACCAAATGGCATAAGTGAGACTGGCCATTATAAGTAAAAAAGGTCCTAAAAAGAAGTTGGAATGGGAAGAATTGACATCTTTGCCTGTATTTTCTTCATATTTCCAGTGAAATCCTAATTGACCAATAACAACTTTTCCATGATATAATGACAATAACATTGCACCTCCAACACAAACTATTGTCCCCCAAAACTTGGCTTGTCCTGCTATACTTCTTAATCCCATTTTTTCAACCCTGCACCCACAAAATTAAAGTTATTTACACCAATTTATTTATTTATCATGTTCCAAATTGATTATTATTTTTTTAACTTTTGAATTGTAGAGAAATTAATAAATTTACCCCAAGGGTACTGCTATGATAAAGGTGAAAGCTGGGATTAGATTATCAATAGCGGAAGCAATTGTTGGAGTTGAATTATTTAACCCAATAAAATATGCATATTGGTTCGCCGTTATCCTGCATATTTCACGATTTGAAAAAAGAGTAACAGTGAGTTATAATTAGGATGTATGATAACAACAATAATATATTAATCTCAAACAAGTTATAGTCGTTAAATATGAATTATGATCTCTAATTTTTTATTTATAAAATTTGAAATTTTATGACAATGACTACCTTACCCGAAAATAGAACACAAAAATATCTGAAAAAGTATAGAGCGTGTCATCTTGGGTCTACTTTTCCTGTCACAAGATGAGGAAATAAGAGAAATATAATTAACAAACCAAAAATAAATAAAAAGAATGTGATAAAAGATTATATGTTATCGTGTTAGGATCGAAATAATATGGTGTAATGCGGAAGCTAGCAAAGTAAACCTCGAAAGACCATGAGTAATAAAACAAACGAGAAATAGACCAAAAGACACAAAGATTTAATGTGGTTCGGTCAATCGACTTACGTCCACAAAGGAGATGAGCAATCCACTATATAAATATGAGAGTACAAACTATAGAGAGAAACAACCTCAACCAATTCACTGGGAATACATGGGAGGCTCACACAAGTGATAATAATAACGTATCAAGCTTGTGTCCCACAAATTCTCCCCATAACCAAAACTCTCAAAGCCCTCAAGACTACATTGTGAATGTTGATTACGTTAGAAGGAGCATGCATCTATTTATAGAGTCCTAAACATTTTCCTATAAAACTTTTTCCTAAAAGGACTAGCCAATCCAAAACTTTTCCTAAAAGAAAAACCTATTTATGGTAAGAAATCAGGGAAAATAAAACTCAACATATCGATCTCCAATTGGAGGGACAAAAAAAGTAGGGAAAATTGTATATAATAGCAAGCTACGAATTCATATTAAATGTTATAAATATGCTTTGATTTAATTGTACCCTATAGCAAACTATTGCTATTTTCGTCACTCTCCCTGGTGGAATCTCACTCGCTACTCTCGTATGGTGGCAGTCTCGCTCTCCTCTCTCACTTTATACAAAAACGCAAATGTATAAAATGTATTTGTGTTTGTATAAAGCGAGAGAAAATTTTATATATACATATATTTTCGTTCCCCTCTCTCCCCTCTCCCAGATCTCGCTCGCCACTCTCCCAGATCTCGCTCGCCACTCTCCCAGATCTCGCTCGCCACTCTCCCAAATCTCGCTCGCTCACTCACCTCTCTCACTTTATACAAACAGAAACAAAATGTATAAATTGCACTTCTGTTTGTATAAAGCAAGAGAAAATTGTATATATACATATATTTTTGTTCCCCTCTCTCCCCTCTCCCAGATCTCGCTCGCCACTCTCCCAGATCTCACTCGCTCACTCGCCTCTCTCACTTTATACAAATAGAAACAAAATGTATAAATTGCACTTCTGTTTGTATAAAGCTAGAGAAAATTGTATATACATATGTAAATACATATATCTTCGTCCTATACACTTATAATTATATAATACAAATATTTTCCTGCCCAATTTTTTTTTGCCTTTCTCTCTTTCTCGTTTTATACATACACAGATTATACAATTGATCTTTTGTATACAACTGTTTTCTTTGTATATGTATAGCGAATTATACAACTGTTTTTTTTTGTATATGTATAGCGAATTATACATATATATATTTGCTATGGAGCGCAATTATACAAACTTTATTATAGCATATAAATATAAATTTTGTGTTTGCTATATGTGAAAGTTGCTCAAAAAAGTATACACGTCTATTTAATTTGCCAAGGAAAGAAAATTCATCGTTCATTCTTTCAATTTGTTTACTATATATAGTTAATGGGTCAAAATTTTTAAAAACTCCCTTATGAATAAATTAAATACAAGTAAAAATATATTAATTTGTTTTGTAATAGACAAAACTCAAAAGTATAATATTGCCAAATAAATTGTAAGGAGAAACTAAAAAAGCAAACATCCTAAAGATATAATAAAATGTAACAAGAGCAGAAAACAACAAAACAAAAAAGCAAAAGGAGTAGTGCTACTAGAAAAAGTATTGTTGATCAATCAGAAAACGGACAAAAGAGAAATACTCCTCCGTCCCAAACAAGTTATACATTCTTCATTTTTACTCCCTCCGTCCACTTTTATTTGTCATTTTGTGTTTTTCAAAAGTCAATTTGACTAATTTTTAAAGTTAAGTTAGATTACATTAATTCGATATTTTTTTAAAAAAAAAATTAGATATTCAAAAACTATACGAAAATTACTATAAGTTGCAATTTTTTGCATATCAATATGATGAAAAAATATATCGTAAAATGTTGGTCAAAGTTCTTATAGTTTGACTCTAAAAAAGGAAACCATGACAATTAAAAGTGGACGGAGAGAGTACTTTTTTAACCTTTTTAAAAATATATATAAAAAAAATTAATTTTATCTTGATTTTGTATATTAACAACTAATTTTAGATAACTATTTATAGCATGGATAATTAATAGAGTATGGAAGGGAGAGTAACAAATAATTTGTTACTAAAGAATTTTCAGTAAATAATTTGTTATTTCCAAATTCGAAATTGAATAACCGACTAACTAAAGCGTAAGTACTCTTAATTTAACAAACAACTCCTAATAAATAATTCTTTAAAAAGAATGACAAGTTCTAACAAAAGTCATCTGGTTGAATATGATCTATAGAAAAAAATAAAAATAAAGCATCAATATCATTTCTTCATTATAAATTAAAATCTTCTTCGAATTTGAACTTGATGCACAAATAGATATTTAAAAATTATATAAAAATTTAATTGGCTCTCTTAGTTTCATCTATATCACATAAATTGAAACAAATGAAATAACATATATTGATACTTATATCTAGTCTTAGTAATAATAAGAAGTAGAAGCTAGCTTGAGCGGCTGAATCAAATAATTATCATATACTCCCTCCTTTATTTTTATTAGTCCATTATATTAGAAATTAGTTCATTTTTACTTGTTTAATTTGAAAAATCAAGAGATGATTTATCATTTTATACTTACTTTACCCTTATTATTAAAGTACTATATATTTCTCAATGCATTTTTTTAATACACAGTGTATATAATTAACTTATTTTAATTAATTATTTCAAAAAACAAAAAAAACAAAGGTGTACCTTTCTAAGAAATAAGCAAAGGGAGCAATGGAGATGGTGGCAAAAATAGGCTTATATGCTGACTGAACGAAAGGATCCATCCCACTATCCATCACTAATTTTGTTATTATTATCATTCCAGCAAACGCAACTTGAACAATCACCATTACCATAAAAATCATTAATTCGTTCCTCATTTTCTTCTTTCTTGAATCTTGATCGATTACTCAAATTAACACTTCTAATTCAATGGATAATTGGTGTTTGAAATTTTTATAGGATATATGGTGGGTGACCTAGCTAGGGAGGAAGGAGAAGAAAATAATGTTAGTAGATATTTTCTAAATGACTACATATATACACATGTATATATAATAATAATAATATTAAATATACATTGCATGTTATGGAGTACTCGCATGTTATGCACTTGTTATCATAAAAAAGTTTGATAAGCGTGATTAAAGTCATCTCCCATAAAAAAAAGAACTTTATATTATATGTTTATATATAATTAAGTTGCCCTTTAAATTATTAGTCCAAAAAAATTATCTACACTTTTGTTTCCTGACGACATATCCTTGTTAAATTTTGCTTAAGTGAAATGTTAACGTGAATAAACTGTACATATTGATCTACAAAAAATTTAGGATCGAGAATAAACTGTACACATTGATCGACCAAAAATATGTATATACAATAAATTGTCTGATTTTTGCTCTTATAAAAGGGAGCTGTGATTCAAATAAAATTTAATTTGTTTAGGGCATAGTCAAATTGGTCTAGGTAACCTTCATAAAAAAAAATGAAGTATGATCACGTTTATAAGAAAATAGATTAATTTTAATTTTTAATATGACGAATTAAATTTGAGATGAAGAAAATATGTGCAATTATCATAAAGGATCAACCCTAAACAATATAGTATCACTTTATTTTGTGATATCGTATGGGTTTGAAAGAACATAATCATGATGAACCACTCAAAATAGAAATTAAAGTTATCGATCATGTTGATACAGTATACATATTTATAGTTTAAGACAGAGGCGAACCAAAGATTTGAAGATTGGGGTGCACCACTATCTTTTAGTTTTTTGGTTATTGAAGGCAAAAAAAATAGGAAAAAAAATGTTATCTGTGCTGGACTCGAAACCACAACGTGGTGGGTTAAAACTGCAACTTTAACCAACTCGCCTGGATGAATTTTAGGTTAGTAAAGTGCACAATTATATATATAATCTTACTTAAGGTGTCTATACATATATATAATTTTGTTTCTAAAAGTTATCGAGTGCACGTGCACCCTCACGGATCAATGTAGGTCCTCCTCTGGTTTAAGATCACACTATTTAAAATTATTCTTTACTTTATTAAATTTTGTGTCAGACAAATTAATACGAAAAAACTGAAAATAGAGGGAGCAATAATTGTTATTTATATATGTTCCAAATGAGAATTAAAAGAAGACGCTAACTAATTATTGAATAAAAGATCATTGTAAATTAAAGTAAGAAGATCAAATAATTGATCAATGCTTTGATCAGTGGAAATTGAGTCCCCAACGACATGTCACAAAAAAAGCATAAATAAATAACTTTTGTTTCAACTTTGCCAATCTTTTTGTTAAAAAGGTTTAACAAACAGCAATAATAAGGGCCATTTTAGCTTTCTATTTATAATCGAATATAAGTAAGTGACGTTATACTCCTCTTTAGGTACTCAACTAGTACTATAATTTAAAACATGACGCAAATAATTTTGTTGCCTTTTAATAGCATTCAATAGTTACATGGAAAAAAATAGTTTTTGCAAAATCGAAATTTTATTAAAAATATTCAAAATAAAATATGTAATATAAAAAATTATATAACTTTTGACTTGCATATATTATATAATTTTTCAATGAAGGTCGCTTAACTGATCATCCTTTCATCTATAAGTAGGGGCGTATCCAGCAAATCTACGTAATGATTTGTACTTATGAGGTCAAATTTTGGTTTAATAAATATATATACAAGTATTGATACATTTTGAATCAATTTAAAAGTTTAGTATAGTGGTTAAGTTATTGTGAAAAAATCCTTGAGATCGTGTGTTCTTTAATTCTACTAGCCTCATGATAATTATATTTTTTTACTACAACCATCAACACCCCTTAATGATATTTTTTACTACAATCATTAATATTCTTAATGATAATCCTAGATCCGCTACTGTCTTGTCTGTAAGGCTTTGTTGCGCCTGAAAGTGTGCAATAAAGTAAGGTATTAAACGCAATTGCCATACTTATGTACCCGTTAAAGTACTTTAACGGCCAGAATTTTGAACCTTTTTTTTCTGCTCAATTGCCATTTCATGCAGATTCAAGAGCCTCGATATAGCAAGCTATCGTGAAGGACTCTCTCAAAAGAAGGTTAAATTAATATCATGTGGGTCGATATATCACGTATTTATTATTAATTTTGACATAAATCATGATGTTAGACTAAAACCATCCAAGTAAGGATTTATTTATTATATGTTGTAGAGGAATAGAATCCGTCAATAGTGTAAAACTACGACGTAGTGGAATTCTTTCTTTTGGTTTATTTTCCACTTCTTTATTTTCCCACTAGAAAGTAGTGCTTTATAAATTAAGCCTTCTTTATTTTGAGAATATAAAAGATGAAGAAAAACAAGAAGGAAAAACAAATTGCATGATCTTCTAAGTCCACCTTAAATTTGAATAAGAGAACATAATCTCCCAAAGATCTCAAATTTTATTTTAAAAATTCATGTTTTATTATTGTTATTTTGAACTATTTTTATAAAAAGATCCGTATAGCTAAATTCAAGATAATATTTTTAATGGACTAAAAAGTAAATCTACGAAAAAGGGATAATACCCATCTTTTGTTTATAAAGTTTATGAATAATCATTTCTAGACAAGTTTTAGACCTCTACGAAAATTGTACTGCTTTACACATCAATCTTGTTTTGAGGTGTTACTATCATGAATCAATTTTCTCATTATTAATTTCAAATAGTAATACTTTATACGTAAGGAGGAACAAGCTAATTATTTCATGAAAAAATTGAGCCTTATTTGAAACTAGTTAATCAAACAGCGCTTCGCGCGGTCATATTTTTCTATATTAATTGATATAAAAAAATTAAGAAATTGCAATACTAAAATATATATATGAAAAAATCAAAAAAAAAATAACAATAAAAGAAAAAAATAATAGAATTAAATTAGTTTCAAGAAACATAAGAAGAGAGTTATATTTTTTCCTTGGAACAATACAAAAACATATTTCTTTATGCGCCAATTTTATATGCGTTGCTATCTCATTTTTGGATGTTTTAAATTATTTATGTTATTTCACTAATAATTTCCTTTATATAATACTATTTATGTTTATATATTTATTTAACCATATAAATTTAGAGTTCATGTAATTTTTCTTACTTATAATTTAAAATTTTCACAATTATTACTTTAAAATATGAGCATATCAATTTGTTTAATTGATAAAATTAATAGCTTAAACTTTTTGTTATATATCTACACAAAACTTTCATATGAAAGGCATAAAAATTAATATTTTGTAAAAAATTTACATTAAAAATTAGAAATAATAAATACACAACAGAGCTCAAATATCAATTTTGTATAGAAATTAAATAAACTATGTAATCCAAACACTACATAAAGATGAAGAAGTTAAAAACGAATATCAATGATTTCAAATATCAATATGTAGATGAGTTTTGATTTTCAATAAAGAATATGAAAAATTTCGACAATAAATAATAATAATTGTAACTTTTATTCTTATAAACTAATAAAATAAATAAGAAAATAGAGAAAAAATAATTTTTTTAGCTAGTGCAATATTTTTTTAGTGTCAGCTTTAATCATGGGATCATCATGAAACGTTATAAATATAAATGGATGTTAGAATATATTTTTTTGGAGAGTTACACCTTTTCATTTTTAAAATTTATTTATTAAACAATTATCTTATTCTTTAATTGTCTAATTATGTAAATATTTTTTAGATGATTGAGAATTAGATAAAAAGAGAAATCTCATAATTAGAAAAGTTAAAGGGATGGATTAACTTTTTTCAAGCTATTTGAAATGATATTTCATTAGACTACTCTATTTTAATAAATTTTCATTCGTTAAGGAGAAAATGAAAGATTTGAGTGATAAATATTTTGCCTTTAAATTTACAATAAATAACAGGAATAAGTGGAGTAGTAAAATTTGAGGCATTTAAATTCTTATAATAAATAATAGAAATTAATGAAGGGAATAGTAATTGACACAATTTTTAATAGTAATTATTAATAGAAATATAATGAAAATTACAACAATAAAAAAATAAAAAAATAAATAAGGATCATTGGCCAAAGAGAGGTGTCAAATCATTTTTTAAATATTTTAGCTTTATATATATAGATACATATAGATTTTTTATTCTGATTGGAGAATGAAAGGTTGGAGTTAAATATTTAGGCCTTTAAATTTACAATAAATAATAGGAATAAGTAGAATAATAAATTTTGAGACACTTAAGTTTTTACCATATATAAAAGAAATAAATGGAGAGAGTAATAATTGACACTTTTTTAATAATAATAATAATAATAAATTAAAATATAGTGAAATTTATCAAAAATAATAAGTTAAAAAATAAATAGAATATTTGTCTTCTTTTTTTTAAAACAAAAGTATTGCATATAATGCTTGTAGTTTCTTTAGTTTTTCATTAGAATTATACAAATACTCAAGTTTGTTGTCAATTTTTTTAATTCATTGCTTGGATAACATTTTTTTTTTCTTTTTGTAAGTTATCAAATTTCCGCTCTTTAAAATGCTTCTAATCTTAGTGTCGTATTTAGGAATGCACTTCGGCATACAAATAAACAGTAACATCGAGTACATAATGTTCGTTTTAGAAAGTTACAAAAAATTGTCATAATAAAAATTTAGAAGAACTAACCATAATTTAACCTAATGAATTATGTATGTACAACTATAGTCATATAAAAGAAAAAGAAAAACAAATCTTTATATTTTAAGTTCTTCAATAAAGTACATAAATGAAATATACAAAATAGGAAAGAAAAACTAAAAAGATCAAATTGCCATAATAATAATTTTATTGTAAGACTCTAGATGTACATTATCTTCTTCCAAAATTCACAATTTTCTTTACTTTTGTATCTTCCTCAACTTTCTTCTTCACCCTACAAGCATAAATAGTATTTTATGAAATTGTTAGTTACTCCATTATTTTATTTGGATTGAGTTTATTCAATTTAGTTTCAAAGATTAGTTAAATGACTAAACAAAATAAATAATATCACATAAATTTAAAGTAAAAAAATATAATTTAAAAAATTAAAAGAAGTATTTTTACCCATAGATTCTTTACGACTTTGTTGAAAGCAACCATATGATGTGATGATTAGCATTTCTTCCTCACCCTCCCTAATGTATGATATGGCAATGGAGAAGTGAAAGAATAACTTTGAATGAAATTTTTCTTGCTACAAAATATGAATTTATATAGAAAAAGAGGAGGAATATCATAAGGTGTCATAAAGTAATAAATTTAATTTTGGGGGTTATGAAGATTAAAAAAAAAAAGTTATGAAAATTATTAAGATTATAAGTTGAAGAGGTATGAGTTATTGATAGTTTTATTTTATTTTATTAAAGATATTAAATATATATTATAGTGGTAGGTGAAAAGTTGAGTAATTGAATGTGAAGATTTTTTGAGATATTAAAAATAAAATACTTAAATAATGAAGAAAAAATGGTAAAAAAAAGAAGTGAAAAAGACAAATATGAATGGAGGCCATAGAGATGTGTCACATCACATTCTCTATGTTTCTCCTATATATATAAACTAGACATCGAAGCTTGTGCTAGCACGGGCCCAATATGTATCATTTTTTGTTTCAATTTATGTGACAAAGACAAAATTAAAGAGTTAATCAAACTTTAATATTAATTTAAAATAGTTTAAATTTTTAATTATTGTTAACTATGGTAAAAAAATAATTATGTCTTTTAACATTCTAAATTGCTAATTATTGTTGTACGATTTGTAATATCTTTTACGCAATTTTGAAATAATAAAGGTTATTTCTTCTTTCTCAATTTATGTGGTACTAATAAAATTTCGAGATTCAATCAATTTTTTTTGTCTTTAAAATATTCTATTGTTAATTACTGTAAATTATTGTACTTTCTAAGTAATTTTCAAATAATATATATTATTTCATTTGTCCAATTTATGTGTCACCGATAAAATTTGAAGAGTTAATCAGATCTTTTACATATTTTTATAATTATTGTGATTTATAATATTTTATATAATTATTTTAAAAAAATTAAACAACAAACAAAACGAATTCATCATAGGAAAATTACCAAAGCATCCTTGAATACATCAATAATGAGTCCCACTTTTTGTTTAAAAAAATATGCATATTGGGAGGATATTTTTGTCCAAAGTGGAAATAGAATAAGTATAAAACATTAAAGTCTTTTAAAATTTTAAATTGTTAATTCTTATTGTATGATTTGTAATACTTTTACGCCATTTTCAAATAATACAGGTCATTTCTTCTTTCTAAATTTATGTAGTACTAAAAAATTTTTGAGATTCAATCAATTTTTTTTTCTTTGAAATATTTCTAGCTGTTAATTACTGTAATTTATAGTACTTTCTAAGAAATTTTCAAATAATATATATTATTTCATTTGTCCCAATTTATGTGTCACCGGTAAAATTTGAAGAGTCAATCAGATCATTTATATATTTTTATATCTTTTAAATATTTAAGTAATTAATTATCGTGATTCATAATATTTTATAGAATTATTTAGTATAGTAAAATAAATTTAAAAGAAACAAACAAAACGAATTCATCATAAGAAATTACCAAAGCATCCTTGAATACATCAATAATGGGTCCGACTTTTTGTTTTTAAGAAATTGCACATTCGAAGGATATTTTTGTCCAAAGTGGAAATATTGTGTAAAAATGTGTATTTATTGTGATTTTGAATGTTTTGTGGGGTTGAGTTCCAAAGCCATGCAGCACCTATGTATTTGTCCGCGTGCACAACATCCATGCATTTGCATGTAATTACCAAAACAAGTGCTCTCGCGAAACACATTATATACATGCTCATGTAAATTTCTAATCAAGTCAGCTTTTATGCCATTGTTAAAGACACATTGGATCTGTGGAGCTTTTGTTGGTTGATCTTTGACGTAAAATTCACTTGCCTGCACATGTTCAAATAAATGAATACATACTTCTAAAATTATTGATCTATAATTCTATTTCTAGATAACAAAATATGATAAAAGAAACTACCTATACGACAAATTGAAAAACATTCTGAAAACTTGGATGTTCATTCTAATTTGTGAATATTAATGAGATAAAAAATTAATATGAACCCAAAAATAGAATACATAATGAACTCATACTATAAAACTAATAAATTGGAATACATAAAGGTGCTGAAAAAATATAATATATTATACAACTATCGAGTATAAGTATAATAGATATGTATTTTTTGATATTTCATCATGCATATAATACAAAGTTATGCCCTGACATTCATCCTCTCAACAGGAAGAATATGATATGTTTTTACATTGTTGCCAAGACAACTTTATACTGTACAATACTAGTCATATTGACAAAAAGATTATGAAATTCTTGTGCATATGAGGTTAATTCACAATTTGGCATACCTTACATTTTTACAAGCATATAAAAACATGCATTATGCCAACACTGGAATGTCAACAATAAACACGCAATCACAAAATCAACAATGGACATAACATACAAAAATAGTTTCAAAATAATTTAATACCTCTTCATCGACAGAAAGTAATACTTCATCACTTCTATCTTTTCCTTGATCATCAGGGGTTTCAGACCACAAAACCCTCTTTTTTTTAGAAGAGCTCTCTTGTGCCATTCTAGCCGCAGATCCTATATTTTCGAGCAACCCTTGGGTAATACACAAATCAAATGAGGGAAAATCCCCAAAATTTTGAATATTATGTGGTATACCTCTAGTAATTCTGATTGAATTATTCATTGTAGACAATCAGATGCTTTCCCCAAAATTTAAAACCCTAAAAGCAAATTTGTTATTATCAAGTATTGAAATGTATAAAATATCAAACAAAATAAACATATATATGAGTTTTTAGAATCTGCAAAATCTGAAAAATTAAAAAAAAATCACAAAAAAAATCGGAAAAATTTGAAAATCATAAATATATAATGAATGTTCAAACAAAATCACATCAAAATTGAAAAATTCGACTGAAAATCCGTAAGGTATAGAATAGGTGCTTTAAACATCAAATCAAAAAAATCAAAAAGGATGATGGAAATTACCTTGCCAACCGAGAAATCTGCTTGAATTCATAAAATTTCTTGATGAACAACAAATTAGCACCTTCAAGAGAGCTAAACATGCAACGTGAAAGAGGGGAAGAAACGTGATATTTGGGGAAGAAACGTTAACTTTGTTGAAAAAGGTTTAATGGTATTAGTTTTTTTTTTCTTAACTTTACACGCCTATTGGTTCATATTTTGGTCCAGTGTAGCACTCTTTCCATAAATAAATTTAATTTAAAATACTAAAATTTGTTTCCATAAATAAAATTAATTTAAAATATTAAAATCTGAATACATATTATTTTATCAAAATATTGTCATTCTGTCATTTTAAATAAATATTTTAAAGTGTTGTTACTTTGACTAATTATATTAGTTATTATGACTTATCTGCTAATTTTTCCATATAAAAATCATTGAAGAAAGGTTCTTACTTTGTTATATAAGACCGGAGCTTAATTGGGCTGTATTGATTGTTGTTTGTACCTGTTAGGCTTATGGGGCTCTGATTAGGTTATTGTTTGATTACTGCTATATAATTTGTAACATGTGTATCGAGGATGTTGGAGATCGATTATTCCAAATTGACACAGATGTACGACTTATAATGTACACAATATGCATTGATTTAATGTTGCTACATAAAATTAATGACATGGTAGTGGTTACATTAATTGACTATAATCTACTTATAAAAGACAATGAATTAATTTGCCAACATGATTAAATAATTAACGGTAAATAATCATATCTTGGTTTGTTTATTTGTGAATCTCTGATTGGAATTTTCGGAGAATTGCAATTCCAAATCTGTCTCCTCCTTAATTTGCTCCATCTCCTTTTTCTTCCCCCATAAGAAACCAAACAGTCCAATAACAGTCAACATTGACCCCATAATTCTGGTCAATGTACACATGTAAAAACAAAATAAATAAGTATACAAATTACTATAATCTTACTGTACAATTGATATAACTTTAATTTATTACTCTACTTTTTATTAAATTTCAACTTACGTGCCAACATATAATTTTTCGCCAAGCAGTGTCCAACTGAGAAAGGCAGCAATGACTAATAGCAAAGGAAGGAATACAGAGACATATAGAGGTGCTTTCCTTTTTATGCACCATGAAATCAAATAGAAGGCTAGAGCTGAGCTTATAATTCCCTATAATATAAACAAAACATGTGTTAGCACTACAGTCTATAATAATAGAAATATATGTGACATGACAAATATTGTACGATATACTTACGTTATAAAGGACAGAAATAGCTCTGATGGGGTTCAAAGACCATGCATTTTTGTCACGATGATTAACAAAAAGGGCAACAATTGTACACTCCAAACTTGCCATGAAGCACATCAAAGTTGTGCTAGAATATGGAGCTGCATATCTCTCATTCACTTTAGGCTAATTAATAAAAGGTAAAGTTAATTAAACTAAAATATGACTTAAAAAAACTTTATATTATAATCAAGAGATTGAAATTAAAACCAATAATATCTACGTACTTGTATGATTAGCCATAAAGAGTAAACAATAGCACTTATAATGACTAGAAATGGCCCCAAGAAGAAGTTTCCATGGCTATTATTATTAGAGTCAACAATATTTTCGCTTGTATGATGATGTGAATATTTCCAGTGAATATTCAATTGTCCAATCAACACTTTGCCATGATATAAAGATAGCAACATAGCTCCACAAATGCACAACATTGTCCCCATCACTTTGGCTTGCCCTCCTTTACTTGTCACCCCTATTTTTTCAAGCCTTCATAAAACAATCAGACATTAAAAATTTCATATTTCCTCAAAATATGTATAAGAAATTTAAGTATAGGTACGTTGTGAAAAGAAACATAATTTCACACCATTGATAATGTAAGAAATATTTACACCATCAGGTCGGTCACTTGTTGTAATAAGTAACTTATAGTATAATCTAGTAAGATAACAAATTTCACATTTTAGAGATATAAAATTACCCGAAAAAGACGGCAAGAACAAATGTAATTGCTGGGACTAAGTTATCGAGGGCTGTTGCAATAGTAGGTGTGGAATTTTTTAATCCGATAAGATATGTCATTTGCATTGAAGTTACCCTGCAAGTATTGCAAACGAAAGTTTTATTATATACTAACACTTTATTGATGAAATGGGAATTACTTGAAGCATGGATATTGAGGGGTAGAGTGGTCATTGTCCTAGCTAGATATTTTGATAAAGTTTGTTAGAAGTCGGTTAGACACGTGTAGTTAGTTACCAGCTGTGTATAAGCATATATACTCTGTAGTGTGTATTTTTGTCTAATAATTCATTCTCTCAGTAATAAACATCTCACTGCTTAGCTCTCTCAAATGGCTAACAACAGAATTTATCATTTATCGAATTTTTTGAATTACACTGGCTATATTAATATTATTAGTTGTAACTTAATTGAAAAAGCTCTAAACATATTTGAAACAAGGAATATTACTTACCCAAAAATAGAACACAAGAAAATTAGGAAAATTGTATACAGCGTCAATGTAGGTCTTGTTTCCCTGTGGTGAAACACAAAATCTTCAGTCCAACAATGAATATATGAATATTACGCAATTATCAATATGTCTCTCAAAAAATATTGCTGTGAATTTCTATAAGAGATTTTCCTATGATAATTTATTTTTTGTATTCAAATTATTATTGACCAAGATTCTAGGAGTATATTTTATTGTATTGCATGTGATGGTTTGTTGTATGCATGTGCTAAGTTCGACTATTGTCTCAAAATGGATTCAAAGTCTGACAATTTTACTTATTCAAAATTTGATGTGAATTTAAATATTGATTGTTTTCAGTTTTTAGAGTGTAATAAGTGCCAAAAACTATGATTATTTTAAATTTTATACATTAACATATAAAAATTTATTCGATAATTATAGGTAAATTTATTGATAATCATTAATAATAATCTATTAAAGATGGCAATAACTTGCTAATTGCTATCGATTCCTTGTTAAAATTCACTTATAATACAAAAAGATCTTCACATTATATACAACTTTGAATCCTTAGTAGGCGTTTGGCCATGCGATACCATATCACGATATGGTGTCGTGAGATGGAATCAGCGTTTGGACATGCGATTTTACGCTGATTCCATCTCATGATTCCATATCATGATTTGAGATATTTTAATACAATAATTGATCCATGAGTTTATATTTTGTTAAAACAACCCCACATTTATATCTACTAACCATTTGTTTCATATGTAAATAAAATTTATAATCACATCATTACTTTTTAAAATTTATTATTCTCACCAATATAAAATTTATTATCACTTTAAATTTGGTGAATATAAATGATAAAGTAGAAATTCATTTGGTGAATATAAATGAGAACAAAGGGAGTAATACTTTTTTGATTTTTCATAATAAAAAAAAACGTCTTAATCTTATGACTAAGCATAATATTGATAAAAGACAATTTTCATTGGCGGTGCCGCACTTTCTTAATCTTAGTATTTGCAAAATGTTCGTTCACATGATTGAAGGATATCAAGTCCAATTGATTGAGGACTTGGGAAAATTTGATCAATTAGTTATTAATATTTAGTCAAGTGGACTAGTTATAATTTTTTTGATTGAATTTTATTAGAAGTGTTTTTGACTCAAACTTGTGGTAACTTTTTAAAATTTCGTTATTCAATAATATTTAACTATTGATTTTTCTTGTAAATAGATAGAAGTTAGTGATGTTTGTTAATTTTTATCTTAGTGCATTTAACTTCTAAGTTAATATTTACTCACTAATGTATGTTTTTTTTCTACTTTATAGGTTATTTGTAAGATTAGTTGAGAGATATGAGCATATCAAGTACAATTTATGTTCAGTTTTTTTAATTAAATTAAAGTTAGATGAAACAATTATTTAACTGAAGAACAAATAACTTTGTAATAATTTATTATGCGATTTTATAATTTTTGTTTATTTGATGAGATTGAATAAACAATTGGGGCTATTTTAATAGTTTTACAACTTATGGGATTTTTATGTTTATGAGAAAATATACAACACAAAAATTCCATATCGCATGTCCAAACAAACCTTCAATTTCGTTTCATGATTCCATATCATGATACCATATCGCATGGCCAAACGGGCCTTAGTGTATGTGTGGTGATAGTAAAAGTATTACTTTTCAAGTGTTAGCTTAATGAGTTCATAACTTAGATTAAATTAAAATTAGATTCATTTTTTAAACTACGTATACTTTGAAATAATCATAATGCACTTTTTCTCATTTGAAGATCAAACAATATACTTGTAAAAAAATTGGCAAAGTATTTATTTTGTTGAACATATTGAGAATCAAGTAGAATATCAAATACGACGCAGAGATCAATAAAATGATAATGGAACAGTTTTAAACAAAAGAAAACATTTCAAATTACATGTCTACACTAAACTAGACCGTATTATGAGTTCTTGAATACGTAATAAATAAACATATTAATAAAAAAAACAGAAATGAAAGATTATTTACCTCTCGAAGAGGTAAGCAAAGGGTGCAATAGAAATAGTTGCAATAATCTGTCGATAAGATAAATGTACATATGGGTCCATCCCATCATCCATTACAACTTTTGAAATAATTGCTGTTCCAGCATAGCCTAATTGCACTAGCACCATTAGAAAAAAAGGCAATAAATCTTTCCCCATTTTTAATTTCTCAAATAGTATATACATTTACAGTGTTAGTGTATACTTGGCTTTAAAGAAGGAAGAATATTATTGAGCAGATAGGAGGATCGATGAGATTTTATTTATAATACAAAGTTTTATTTGAATATTTTTTTAAAGGTTTTGCTAGTTAATTACCTATAATTAACTTGATTGTTCCCGATTTTATTCAATTGTTTATTCGTAAGTTGTAGCTGGCTTTTCATTAATTAGTTGATTACATTTTTGTATCATTCAAACCACAGAATAAACAAATAGGAAAGTTTAACTTAAACAGATGTACTTGTTTGTCTATGGGTTCAAAAGTTTATGAATTCAAAATTCAATTTTAAATTTTAGATTGATTTTTTTGGAATTTTATTTTTCACATTAAAATATGACTATTCTTTAATCGAAATTCCAATGACGGCTAAGTTTCTAATACTAGTCTAAAAGTGGCTAGGCAATCTAACGTTTCCTCATTTTCTCAACATTACGTCAAAGGTACTGGGCCATAGTCCATTGGGTTGGATCAAGTGGAAGAAGCCCATAATAAGTAAAGCTGGCATCATGTTTGGGTAAAAATTGGATGGGCTGAAATATGACCCGTTATTTAGCAATCGACCAATTCATTTTAGGCCCAATAAATTTGACCCGTCTAGTTTTGTACATTAGTTATTTTCACTTCAAAGAGATGTATTTATAGGTGTTATAAAATAAAGATGGTGTTATAAAATAAAATAAAACTAATGCAAGAATAAACTACACAAGAAGAGAAGGAACACAGAACTATAATATTTCACTTGTTCTTGCTACTCACTTTGTTACAAGAAGGAGGAGTGTATACAGGTGTATATACGTGGGCACCAAATGTAATATATTGGATATTTGTTTTTCACGTATATATTAGACACCAAATATATTATATTGTTAACTAGTATACAAAACATAACATATTGTGTGTATATTTATCTTACAACATAAAATATATTTATATATATATATATATGAACATCCATTTTACAACAATAGATTAGTTATATACACATAACAACTATAATTAATTTAATTTCTCTTGAGGATACATAAAAAATTTGATATTTTTCAAAAGAGTCATTACTAGCCCTTTATCAAGATTGTTGTAGATTATTTGAAATCGTTATAGATATCTAACTTATGATTGTAACTAATTAATTTAATAACTTTGTCAATTCGTAGGTACACAGTTCTATTGTTAAACGTAGTGCTACATGAAATTAAATTATAAAAGTAATGATAACATTGATTATCAACAAGAAGAAAAAGATAATGAATTTGACAACATGATGATCAAAGCTTTTAATTTGATCGATCCTTAAAGAGTACAGTAAATAATCATATCTTGCGTTGGGCATTTGTGAAGCTATGTTTTGAATTTTCTGACAATTGCAAATCCAAATCAATCTTTGTCAATTGGTTCTTCTTACTATTAAATACCTTTTCTTCTGTCTCCTTTTTAATGCACTCCATCTCTTTTTTCTTTCCCCATAGAAAACCATACAGTCCAATAACAGTCAACATTGATCCCACAATTCTGGTCGTGTAAAAGAAAATATTAGAGTACTCATAAATTACTAAGTACTGTATATGATTTCATCGTACGTATTATATGTAATTGGTACAACTTTAATCTAGTACTCATTCTATTCCATTTGATGTGACGTCTTTTTTTTAGTCTGTTAAAAAAAAAATGTCATTTTATTATTATTAGAAATAATTTCACTTTAGTATTCTCCTTAATGAAATGATTAACAACTACACAAATATCTAAAGATTGTTTCAAACCACAAATTTCAAAGTGATCAAACAATGCCACATAAAATGAGATGATGAGAGTATTTTTTTATTGAATTTAACTTACGTGCCAACGTATAATTTCTCGCCAAGCAGTGCCCAACTGAGAAAGGCAGAAATGACTAAAAGCAACGGGAGGAACACAGAGACATATAGAGGTCCTTTCCTTTTTATGCACCATGTAATCAAATAGAATGCTAGTGCAGAGCTTATAATTCCCTATAATATAAACAAAACATGTGTTAGCACTACAGTCTATAATAATAGAAATATATGTGACATGACAAATATTGTACTATATACTTACGTTATAAAGGACAGAAATAGCTCTGATGGGGTTCAAAGACCATGCATTTTTATCATGATTATTAACACAAAGGGCAATAATTGTACACTCCAAACTTGCCATGAAGCACATCAAAGTTGTGCTAGAATATGGAGCAGCATACGTCTCACTCACTCTAGGCTAATCAACATAAAATAACAAGGAAATTAAAGTTAATTAAACTAAAATATGACTTAAAAATACTTTATTAATTAATGTGAAAAAATAAATACTTACTTGTATGATTAGCCATAAAGAGTAAACGATACCACTGATAATGACTAGAAAGGGCCCCAAGAAGAAGTTTCCATGGGTATTATTATTAGGGTCATGAATAATATTCTTGCTTATATTATGTTGTGAATATTTCCAATGTATCTTCAATTGTCCAATCAACATTTTACCATGATATAAAGATAGTAACATAGCTCCACAAATGCATAATATTGTCCCCATCACTTTGGCTTGCCCTCCTTTACTTCTCAATCCTACTTTTTCAAGCCTTCATAATATATACACAATATGGATAATTAAATGGTGGAAATTCGTCAATATTAAAGGTGCACGATTCAAGGTTAAATTAAATGGGTGTAAAAATGTTACTAATAGCCCTTTAATTCACTCAAACTAGACATATATATGCATGTTACACATTTATATTTAATTTTTAGGTGAAAAATTACCCAGAAAGGACAGCAAGAAGGAATGTAATTGCAGGGACTAAGTTAGCAAGGGCAGTTGTAATTGTTGCTGTGGAATTCTTTAATCCAATAAGATATGTCATTTGCATTCCAGTTACCCTGCAAGTATCCCAATCAAAAAATATTTGCACTATTACCACTTTATCGTATATATATAAAAAAAAATTAACTATGTGAAACAAGGAATAATATATACGGGGTGAAGGCTCAAAAAAATACATTTAAGATATCATAATCTTTTGAATTTCACATCTAAACTATTATGTGTGTAAATTTCCTACCTGAATTATCACCAAATGATTATTGAAACACCCTCAATTATTCGTTATTCACTTTTCCTACTTGCACAATGGTGATATTTCTTACCCGATAAACATTTGGTGATACTAATTCAGATAGAAAACTTTTACATCTGATAATTCGAATATAAAATTTAAAAAATAAAATTATTTTAAATATATTTTTGATCATTAACTCGGTGAAAAGTGATTATTGCTTACCCGAAAATAGAACACAAGAATATGAGGAATAGTGTAGACAGCGTCAATTTAGGTCTTGTTTCACTGTGGTGGGACACAAAAATCTTCAGTCCAACAATAAATATAATTAATACTAATACAATATGGTATTTTTATATTTATGTAAGTGCACACCCGAAAAATAGCAATTACAATTGGGCTAAAAAAATGATATTTCTTGTTCTTCTATATTTATTTTTCGACGAAATTTGGATTCGCGCCGAAAAATCCGCTAGAAGACTCGAATTCGAGACCTCTGATTAAAGATAACAAAGTATTACTACTTCACCACAATCATTATTGACAAAAATAAGTATACGATATTTCTACTCTGAAATATATATATAACAAATAAAAGGATAATACATACATGGGAAGGTGATTTGACGGCACCTAATAAAAAAAGAGAGCATTACTGAAAAAGCTTTTTATATTGCAAAAATTAGAGATGTGATAGGGAACCATATGAAAAGTGAAGCAGCTTCCTTTAATAAAGGTTCCTCATATATTCTCAAACAAGCTTTAACATGACATATTAAAACACTCTACTTTGAAAGATTCCATTTTTATATGATCTTTTTTTCATAAAAGGTAACATAGATTATTAAGGAAAACACAACATATTTGAAAGGGATTTTCGTATGATAATCTTTTTTAATTTAAATTATAACTGATTATAAGAGATTACATATATTTTTTTGTATTTTTTGCATGTGTTGGTGTGCATCGCCGAGTTATATGCATGTGCTGAATTTTGACTATAAATGCTATCAAAATGGATTCAAAGTAGAGAATTATTTAAAATGTGATGCGATTTAATTAAATTATGAATGTTTTCATTTTTTTATAAAAACATTTTCTTTATTTAGAAAGTACGTTACTAGTTTTGTAAACTATGATTGGTTCAAATTCTATACACCGACATAAATTCTATACACCGACATATAAAACTTAGTTCAATAATTATAAATAAATTTCTTGATAATCATTAAACTTCTAATAAAGACGGCAATAACATGCTATCACAAGTTAAAATTCACTAATAATACAAAAAGTTCTTTATACTATTAGCCTAATCAGTTCGTATTAATTAGCTCATAGATTAAATTAAAATTTGATTCATTATAAACTACAGGCTGAGAACATGTTGCACCTTTTTTCTGTTTGAAGATCAAACAATGAACATCTAATATTTTTTAGCAAAGTACTTATTTTGTTGAACGTGACAATGGGAAGCAGAATACCAAATACTAATGGTAATTAATGAAACAGTTTTCGATAGAATAATACATTTCAACATGCATAAAATAGAAATTGTATTCTGAGTTCTTGTGGTAATTAATATTAAAATTGACCAATTAATTTTTTTTTTTAAAAAAGAACAGAAATGAAAGATTATTTACCTCTCGAAGAAGTAAGCAAAGGGTGCGATAGAAATAGTTGCAATAATTTGTCGATAAGACAAATGCACATATGGGTTCATCCCATCATCCATTACAATTTTTGATATAATAACTGTTCCAGCAGAACCTAATTGTACTAGCACCATTAGGAAGAAAGGAAATAAATCTTTTCCCATTTTTCCACAAACAAGAAAGAAGCTACACTATATACATTTACAAT